AAATAAACTTGATCTCTTTAGATAATGTTGTAGTAGTTGAAACAAGGTTTCCGAAGATATAAAGAATGCCGAAATCCGAGTTATAACGAGGAAGTTATGACCTGTCGAAGTTTCGCGACAGAACCGGCAACGCTGAATAACGTAAAAAGTGAAATTTACGTTAAAGCGATATTTAGCCTTAGTGATCTAAACGAGAATCGAAGATCCCGTTGTTAGTATCAAAGCGATAAAAAGTTAGGTGAGAACGGACGTCGGACGAAGAAGTTATGAATTTATAACGAAATTTTCTGTCCCGGCCTATTAAAAATAAATAATAAAAATAAAGTCAAAATTAGCCGACGGAGTCTAAACGAAAGTTGTAGAGCGTAGTCTCACCTTTCCGTGGATATAAAGAACGTCGAAAAGGGAGTTCGTATGAAGAAGATATGAATTTCCGAAGTTTATTAATTAATTTGTATTTATTTTTAAATCAAAATTCGGAAGCATTATCCGAAGGCGAGTCACAGGTCTGATCCGACTTACGCGCCGCGTACTCCGAAGAGTGTCGACACTTCGGATGACGCATGCGCTTACGTTTCTGAGGCACGTACGCCCCGCGTACGAGAGGCTTCCAGCCTCCTATAAATAGGATGCGAGGGCAGCCGGCCAAATTGCTAATTTCCTCTCGTTTTGTGTCGAAGCTCTGCGGTTTTACCCCCGAAGCCATCCCGAAGCCCCGGTAATATTCCCGAGTCCCGAAGCGAGTCCCGAGATCCCGAAGATCCCGAGAAGTGCGGTTTCCGAGCCGAAGCTCTGCCCGCGAGAAGTTCGATTTTTGTAGAGATCTTCCAGATCTGTTGAGGATTACTACTTCTGCAAGCCATAGTGTTGTCCGATCATCTTCTGATCAAGTGAGTGTGTAGTTAATTTCTTCTAACGCATAATTATGAAGTATTTTATATGAAATACGTGTTATGTGTATAATTTTATTGTTATGTGCGTGAATGTATATTCACTCTTTTCAATCTCATAGATCTGAATTGTTTTCTATGAAATACGGGTTATGTGGGTATGCCTCATCTGTTATGTGAAATATGTATTGGATGAAAATGCTATATAGGTTTTAAACTATGTATAAAAATATATATTTTTATCTACTAATATGTTGGGTAGAACATGGGTAGATAGTTGGTGCGTAATAAACAGATGAGAGGCCTCGATGTTGTTGTTGTTGACCTAGTTATTCAGCGGAGTATGGATAACGACCACAGACTCCTTCTAGACAGTCTCGTGGAACGCTAGCAGGTTCATAACCTGTAGGTGTTGTGAACGATGTGTTCACCGGTGTACTCTATCCCCCTCATGGTTGCCTTTAGGATATGTATTGTTGAGGAAACCCCTTAGCAGTAATGTCCGTCCCGATGAAAATCCTAGATTAGGTCCCTTGAGATAGATGTTGTTTTAGGGACGTAAAGTGAGGATAACGGGAATGGGTAATCGGGATAGTGATTGGTTGGTGAAATTAAATATAATTTATTTATTGTGGGTTGAAAACCCTATATGCTCACCAGGCTCCCAAGCCTGACCCACTCAGTTTTATTTGTATTACAGGAAGTGGCGCAAGGGCGTAAGATGGACGAACCATCAAGTTGTTTTGTTTACAAGTCTGTATATGTATATATTTGTTGAATGACTTGTAATGTTATTGTTTATGCTTAATGGTCTGTATCGGAACATGACACACCGAGTTTTAATTATATAATGAAAATGCATCTCTTGATGAAATGCTTTGATAAATATTATTTTATCATGTTTTGTTTTGGGAACAAATTCCGCAACTCTTTCAAATCAAAAGGATTTACTCTGAATTTATTTTAAAAGCATAAATGAAAATCGGTTTTTTCTGACCGTGATTTTGGGAATGTCACACCAACTGAGTATCTAGCAATAATTGGTAGTTTGCAATATCTTACTCTAACAAGACCAAATGTCTCGTATGTTGTCAACAAATTGTCTCAATACATGCACAAGTCACGTAATACACATTGGGAGGCAATTAAATGGCTTCTTAGCTATCTTTGTAGTACAATAGAAATAGAAATTAACATTGTTCGCAATTCACCACTTACTCTACATGCCTTTGTTGATGCTGACTGGGGGATGAACAAATACGTCTACACTTCAACTACGGGTCACATTATCTTTCTTGGTAAAAATCCTATCACTTGGAGCTCTAAAAAGCAAAAATATGTACCCTGATCCTCTACTAAGACAGAATATAAATTTGTTGCAGCAACTACTGTTGAACTAATGTGGGTTTAAAATCTTCTTAGTGAATTTGGTTTTGCTGTCTCAACTACTTTTGTTATCTACTGTGATAATCTTGGAGCTACAAATCTATGTGCAAATACAATTTTCCAGTAAAAAATAAAGCATTTAGCTCTAGCATATAACTTCATTCGGGAACAAGTTCAAAAGGGCACATTACGTGTTTCTTATGTCCGTACAAGTGACCAACTTGTTGATTTTTTAACAAAGCCTTTATCCCACCCCCAACTTGAATTGTTGATGTCTAAGATTCTTCTCACCAATAGATCACCCATCTTGAAGGGGTATATAGGAGATAAAGATAAGTTATTCAGTCAAATTAATCAGTTCCTATATATTAGGAGATTATAGTTTTGTTCCTCTTTTGTAGCATACGTTTGTGTGTGTATGTGTATGTGTATATATATATATATATATATATATATATATATATATATATATATATATATATATATATATATATATATATATATATATATATATATATATATATATTCCCTTGTATAAATGTATCAATAGAAAAAATTATCTTGCTTTCAATATTCTCATTTACCTATATCCTGGTCTTAGCTCCTCTGATATGCATCTTACTTGGTAAGATTTAATGTTGTGTCCGACTCATATTGACCAAATTAGATCCGACTCCAAACAACTCCTAAGTGTTCAAAATAATTCTTATCGTGGGGTAACTTTTCTTGAAAGACAAAAAAATGACTTAAGTAGTTTTTAAGAGACATTAAACTTGATGAACACAAAATACAGTCATATTAAACGTTAAATGTAAAATTATTATGTTAGTACGCTAGTTGCGTATGAATCTTTATTGATTAGTGTTTGTCGATATGTGATTTTGAGTTTTGTATTTTATTCAAAAATAAATGATAACTGGATTTTTTTCACATGCATAAACGAAAAGATTATAATGATTTAAATAAAGTTAATTTAACATCAATTATTAGAAATAATGTAAAGAGTATGATTATACTAATTTAGACATGTAATAATTAAAGTTGATTATTTTAATACACAAATGAAGAAAGCATAATATTATTTTAATCCGTCTGGGCCTTCTTTGTCCCTTTCTTCGTTTCATAATCACGTTACCTGTTTTTTTTATCGATTATATTTATGTAATTCAAATTGATTGTCATATACAATACAATTAAATAACATAACTTTGATTGAAAAACATATTATGTCTATGCTAGCCATAATAAAAGAGACCGATACGATGATATGATGACTATTTTTGTCGACTGAATTTCATTAAAAAAAAAATAGATTGCACGTTTAAAATAGTTATAGAGTTTTATGATATTTTATGAAATGAGTTACTGTATTATATTTTTTTTTACATAACTATTAATGAAATATTTGAAGTTATAGTAGAATACTAACTAAATAGGTATAGATTTAAAGGATAATAATAACATAAATATTTCATTTTCTCAGCAAGACTGTTGAAGAAAATTATAGTTTAATTTAGGAATTTGAATTAACTAAAAAAAATTAAAAAAAAATCCTTTTTTTTTTTTAAATACGTGAAATATACAAATAGAATATTACACTGATATATTCTAAAAAATAATTTTAAAATGCAAAATAAATGGAAAAATCTAAAAATTCTTTTTTTAAATATTATTTTCGGAACTTGAATTAACTAAAAAAAATATAAAAAATCCCGTTTTTTTTTTAAAATACGTGAAATATTCTAATAGAATATTACACTGTATATATTTTAAAAAATAATTTTAAAATGCAAAATAAATGGAAAAAACCAAAAATTCTTTTTTTAAATATTATTTTCGGAACTTGAATTAACTAAAAAAAAAATAATAATAAAAAAATGCGTCTCACGGTCTCACAAAATTAGGCCATCTCACATTAACCTAATCATATATATATATATATATATATATATATATATATATATATATATATATATATATATATATATATATATATATATATATATATATATATAGCAGATGAATACACAGCTAAGTAACATACCTAAAGTTAAAATCTTACATCTAAATATTTATTTTTTAATAAATTTTTTGGGGTTTCAACTTTCAAGGGTTGTTCGGTAGTTTCTTATTTTGTTGCAAGGGTGGAGCTTTTCTCTTGTTGGCCAGCAAGTAGATCCTTTGAACTGTGGAGTACCCCAGAAGCTTTTCTATAATAGCCTTAAATAGATTATCTTTTTTTTTTTGACGAATAATAAATGGTTGCATTTTAAAAATTCTAAATTGACTACCAAAACAACGACTTACTAATTATACTTTTAACTTTTTTTTTTTTTTTTTTTATAGAAATCATCTTATATAGTTTTGGAATATTAGTATTTTCTCGTCCATTTTTTCTTTAATTTGATCATTTATGTTGATTAAATATGTTAGTATTTCCGGAAAAAAATAACATAATAAATAATGACCAATATAACCATGAAAAAACATTATTGATGTTATTTATTATAACATAGGGAAAAAAAATTTCATTTACTGGTGCAGAATTTAATATAAAAAGGGTTAAACACTGCAAGTGTGACTAATATTGTCGGTGTGATTTACATACATGACCATTCAGATAGGTGCAATTTATCATTTTTTTAACCTCGACTTTTAAAAGGTTATTTTAACATGTGCATTTGAGCTAAACCTATCATCAATAATAATGTGAAGAAAGTATTGGTCTAGAACTATCCAGGGACAATAGTCTTTTCATTCGCACATGATACAACATTCGAGTCGTACATGTCCTCGCAAAAACAAATGGATATATGTATAAAAAAAAACTAAGTTGATAAGGGTTGGTACAAAAAACCTAACCAGATGACCAAAAACAATATCAAACAAAGTGTCAAAATAGTCCAAAACATAACTTCCTGTCACTTGAAACCCTTAAATTTGGTACATTTAAAAAACCAACTGAAAATCCAAATTGCAAATTTATGATACACAGACTAAAAACACGCCACGCCATTTATATCACACAAAACACATTCTATAATAATCTCCACACCACACAGATGTTGATTCATTCTTCCCCACTGGATAACTCTTCTTCATCAGTGCTATAATCATAATAATACTCATCTTCATCTTCTTCCTCTTCATTTTCATTATTCTCAAACGTGAGTCCCCTCCTGTTTCCATTTGCCTTCAACTGTTCTTGTATTCTGTCTCTGATGGCTGTTCCCTGAAAGTTTTATTAAATATATTCAGATTATAACAGAAAAAAAGGTGTTATCACACTGGATCTCAACCCTAAATATATAAGAAGTATGGAAGAGAAAGAGAAGAAAAGAAACCATTTTGTGGCAACCCTCTTCAAACATTTCAAGGAAACCAGCAACCAAACGATCAGCATTCTCAACCCACAGGTTATGATTCATACCAGCAGTTTTTGCAACTGTCTGGATCTGCATAAATGTTACAGGAGACAAAATAAGGACCAAAATTGAAAAATTAGCTTACTCAGGGATTACTTACCTTCTCTTCCACCTTTTCTTGTTGTTTTTTTACTTTTTCACGCAGCTTCTTTAAACCCATATTCACTCTCAACCGCTTTTCCTAAAAAAAAGAAACAGATGGAAACTCAAACTTCAACCTGGAAAAAGCATGAGACAATAAATCGAGATCTATAAAAATATAAAACAATAGGTTTTAACTTTTAATTAATCAATAAGAAAAACACACTTTTACGTAGCTGACACCAAGATCTTTTCTTGAGTAACCTCGATCCAAGTTGCGCATCACATACTCGTTATAGTCTTTTACAATTCTCATGATTATATCTGATGTGGAAATCCCATCTGTTCGTTTTGTCTCCTTAAATCTTCCAATTGACTTCACCTAAAAAGGGTATTAATGTAAATATCATGGATGCATCATAGTAAAGAAAGTTGACCTAAATAACAAATATGTTCAAGGAAGCAGTTTGATATTTTAACCTGAATATTTTATGGTGGTAATTGGTATATTTAGTTTATAACATTGAAGAATTGTTTCTTTTTAACTAAATGAGCTCAATGAGTTGAGCACTAAATCTTTACAGATATACATGACTGTTTCTTTCTGACTTAATCTGAACAAAATGACTTAATGGGTTAAGCTAAAAAAAAAAAAAAAAGCTTGGCTTAACGTATTAAGGCACTAACCATTTACCCATTTGTCTTTCTTCATTTTTCCTCCCATCTACTCTCATGTTAAAACGAACTAATATTTTTAAAATCGATGAATATTGCAAAAATTGTTTTTTGGAATGTGAGGGTAAAACGGTCATTTAGTCTCATTCATACAGTTTATCCAGACAAACATCATTACCCATACAACAGTTAATGAAGGAAAAAGAAGAAATAACCCAAACTAATGAGTACACATGGTGGTTTTTCTATAAAATAACTACATGAAGCTAATTAAATTCTGTAGAAGAAGGGGCATATGGTAATATTTAATAACAACTTCAACTTACAAATTCATAGACGTCTTTTCCAGCACCACTTGCATCGGCATAACTGATTTTAAGAAGTCAGACACAATTAATACATGATAAGCAGTCCACAACTATATGCATCAAATTTACAACTACACAATAAAAGTCCAAATTTTCAATTAATATTTTCATAACTATATGCATCGCATACATAGACAGCCATGACCTTTCATGAAAAAAGAAAAGTTTGTATGCTTATATACATGAATCATGTATACATGTATATGCATGCAAAGAGAGGAATATGAAGTGTTATATGAGAAAAATGTAACTTTTTATATATACCCCTTCAAGACAAAGAAGGCCTTGGGGGTTTGAGGAGCAAAAGGAATGCAGCTTTGGACAGGTTGACCTTACGGAAGAGAATCGTGAGCCACATAGTCTATCTGATGTTTGTCAATAAACTCTTGTGTAAGTACCCATGGTGCATCTGGAATAACTTCATCAACCCACCTGCATAACACCATTTAAGAATATCATCATAAAGTTCATTAATACAAGCATGATATCACATATCAAACCTACTTGCAGTGGCGAAGAGATTCATAACGCTCCTTGTCAGTCATGACTGTTTTACCCTTCAGGCTGTGGGTGACTTCATCATTGCAACATCCAACAAGCAAATAAGTATTTGGAAACCTGTATCAGGATAAGATGAGAAAAGAAGTTGCAAGATCTGCACACTTTATACAAATCTAAACAGAAACAGGATGATTAACTAACACAGATCAAACACTCATCACTCATGTACATGATACTGTATCATTGACATGAATACATAGAGACAATGAGATGAGGAGTGGAATTGATGTGAGTAAAATTTCTGGAAGTGCTTTCTGCGCTAGCTAAAATCCAAGTTTGTCTAGTAAACTTTTGACTTCTATAAACGCGTTTGAATGTGTTAAGGACCTCAAAAACACGGTTGCAATTTCCAAATTCATTGATACAGAGCATTAAGATCAATAAGTAGCATGCCTTGTTATCAATTGTTATTAGATCTTCTCTGGTTCGTTAACTGAAATTTAACCTATTCATTGCCATCAATGGATGCAAAGTTGAGAAGAGACTTCGAAAAACTACAAGCATCTAGTTCTCTTCTCCAACCTTAATATATCTATACACGCCGTTTCCATCCAAACACCACCATATTAAGTTAACATAATCACAATTATGAAACAGAAGTCGTATAAAGTAAGGTCAAACGAAATTTTCTCAGACACATACTCCATAGATCAACCAAAAGCGAGATCCATATTTTCAGTACTGAATCAAAAGTTATGAAATCGATAAAGGTGCGGGAAGTCGAGAACACTTACGATTTTTTGGCTTGCTCAAGGGAACGAGCATGGCCGAAGTGGAAAAGGTCATATATGCCGTCGGCGTAGACACGAACTGGACGGTCGGTGGGTGGTGGAAGCATCCAATTTCTCTGTTTGTGTTCACCTTCCATGATCGACCTTGAATCCTAGATACCTTCTCAGAAGATCTTCGGGGCCTGCCCCCCTTTGCTCAATGCCACAACCTACGAAAAACCCAGGCCGTGATTGCCGTAATCTTAATTACCATTATACCCCTCGTTCAAACCAGCAGGCTTCCAATCCACATATTTTTAGAGTAAAAATCCCATGATTATAATAACAAATACTTTTTAGATTAAATTACACAAATTTATAATAACAATACTTTTTTAGGGTAAATTACGTTAAATTTTATTTAGAGTCGACAAAAACTTACACGACAGAAATAAATAGATTGATATTTCTTATATGTTTAACTAAATGTATTGAGACACCACACAAATTAAATTTAAAAGATAAATTCAACTCAAATATGATTTGAAAATGACTCATTTATTTATATCCAGGTTTTGTGAATTCTTCACATAAACTAGAAATACCTAAAAGGCTAAAACCTAAAAAAAAAAGTTTGGGTTCAGTTAGTTTGTAATATGTCTATACTAAAACTTTATTTTTATTTTTCTCGTTTTTTCATAAACTACATAGCCTTAACCATTACCTCTGTTTCATCATGTCGCCCCTCTGCCTCTGTAATTTCTACTGTCTCCTAAATTTATACTATTCTCATTACGTAGTATAAGCTTACTATGAATTTAACCATTTTGCCTCTTAGCAACTAAATTTTCTTACTTCTATTATTTGAATATGTTTAATGTTTCAACCTCACATGACACGACATATTTTAAGGTCTAACCCTAACATGAATCCTGACAAAAATCGACAAAAGAAATTAGCTTGATACAGCATGACACGTTAACATGCCGAGTTTGGATTTAGATCACTCAAGTATCAACTTTTTACTATTTCAACCCGACACATACCTGACACATAACAACACATTTCCTAGATCTAATCTCATTCATATATAAATGACTATACGACCCTACCATCCTACCCCTATCCTTCCCCATGTTTGGTAGTGGATTTTTCGAAGGAAGTGACCAATGGTAGTTATCGAAAGCTAATAGTTGTTGGATATTTTAACATTGATGGGAAAAATGATAGGATGAGTTAAGATAGTAGACACCTGATAAAAGAAATAAGTAATAATAATAAATATAATAATATTTAGTAAAGACATGATATTCATTTCATGTATTAAATGAATGAAACATGCTATTTTAAAATTAATTAGATACGGCACAAAATGAAAACCAAAAGATACACATGAAACAATTTGATCAAACCACAAACACATGTAAAATTAACTCTACCTTATGTTATAATATCACCTTAAAAAATCAGTTTAACGATAATAATATTATTTAAATATAAAATAATATTTATTGCTATAATCAAAATATTTGATAAAACAACACTAAAATACAAATAAAAATACAATATATAGCTTAATAATTTTATATTAATTAAATTAAATTAACGTATTATAATAACAATAAAAATACAACATATAACTCGGTAGATTCTACATATATTTAGTTAAATTAAATTAATAAACATATAATAAATAAGAATATGTTACATCTTATATTTAATAAACTATCAACATCATATTTATTTTTAGTATATTCTTTTGGATATGCTTTCTTATACTTCTGTATTTTTCTATATTAAAGTTAAGGCAAAATTACATTAAAAAATCTGAAGTTTTCAAATAAAATATACTTTTTATATAGTTATTTTTAGATACGTTAAAATATAACGTTTTTTAGAATTTTTGTATAAGAGTCGGTTAGCGTGTTTTGAATCCTTTTAGTTATTTATCTTGCTATATGGCTCCGTAGAGACAATGTTGTAAAAATTGGTTTTTTAGTTGAATCAGTATGATAATTGGTTATCGGTTTAACTGATTCGACTGTCAGGTCAACCAGTTTCTATATTTTTCATTTTTTATTTTATTTTATTTTTCTACACATACATACATGCATAAATAAAGAAATTTGACATCAAAAAATTAAATCATTAAAAATACATATAAAAACAAGTTGTAAATCAATCTAAATACATTAGCATAACACATAACCATAAATTTTACATCAATCCACATGCATCAAAAAGAAAATAAAGTATAACAGTGAAACAAAATATAGTTTTAGATGAATACAAACACATCAAAAAATTTCATAACATTCGCCATATTTTTTATTTAGAAAAAATTTAAATTGATGTGAAAAAGACCACTAAAGTTTATTATATAAAATAGTTTTTTTTCAAGTGTTTTTTTAATGAAATTGGTTCAATCAGATTTTTATAAAATCCGACTGGTTTGTTATTGTTCAAAAATAGATATAAAATCAGTGATAATTGAACCGCTCACTTTCTTGATTCAAACCGTTTTTTAAAACATCGGGTAGAAGTAAAAAAATTGATACTACACAATAACCTCGATACAAAATAATTGTGTTTGAGTAAAATATTTTAACTCGTTTAATTGAATGATTCACATGGCACAAAGTAAAATTTAAATCGATAATGTTACGGTTGAAAATTTCAACTTGAATATGACTCGAAAATAATATATTTATTTATATGCAAGTTTTTTGTAAAATAAAAACTCTGGGTTGAATTATTTTGTAACGTGGAAAATAACCTATGAGTGCCATTTTTTTTAATTACCATAAAGTTTTCGATTTATGTTTATGATTTTTGATTTACATTGAAGAACATTTAGATATTCGATTTATGGTTAAGAGATGAACACATCATTAAGATTCAGGGTTATAAGTTTGCCTGAGACTTTTGTCTCTTTCAAAAAAAAAAAAAAGATTTAGGGTTATGATTTCCAATTTTTGAAAATGAACATTCGGATTTTCGATTCGTTTTCAAAACACTCCTCTTTTTTGTTTCGATATCATGAATACTCTTTATACGCCGTTCAAAAATCAAGAAAAACATTCAAACTTTGTTCAAAAATCCATTCAAAGATCATGAAGAAAATTCATATTACATGCATCAAATCATCCATAGTTTTTTTGTTTCCTACTAATTAACAGATTTTAGTTTTTAGAATTCAAAAAACCCTTCAGAACTTGTCGGAGAAGATGGCCAAAAAACTCATATTTCATTGAAAAAGACACCAAAAATAACAAAAGCCACTATTACCGGTCATATTAGTAATCTTAGAACAAAATCAATAAGTTTAATATGACATATAAGCATACAAATAAGTGTTATGACGAAATTTACAACTCATTATTCCATTTGTTGACACCCATATTCAACACTAAACATGTTGAAAAAGTATGAGTTAGGTAGGCGGAAAGAAAAAAATAATAATTAGGATGTGGAATGGTTAAATTTATAGTAAGTTTAGATGGAAAAAAATGAAAAAAAGTATGAGTTGAGAGGCGAAGGGTGAGATCATGAGGATGAAATAGTGGTCGGAGGGACATTGTAGTTTGAAACATAACAAAAAAACAGAAAACAAAATCGTGACCTAAACGGTTAAGTTGTTTCTACATTACAAAACAACTCAACTCAAATGTTTTCTTTTGTGTATGATTTTGGTTTTAAGTATTTCTAGTTTATTTAAAGACAAAAAAATAAAACTTATAAATAACCGAATCATTTTCTAGTCATATTCAAGTTGAAATTTTCAGCCCTACTCGTATCCATTAAATTTTTGTGTTGTGTCGCGTCAACCAATTTAATTAAAAGGGTTAGATATCTTACCAAAATCCGTTTAATTCATATTGAGTTTGTATCGGATTTCGTTTCGTATCAATTTTTGGCACCTCAAAAAAGAATACCGACTCTTCATGCAACATATATTCTCCTTACTTTCCTTTCCCTAAAGAATCAAACTATTTTCACTTTCCACTTTGAAATCATCATCTCTCGAAGCATAATGATACCCATGGGTCATCAATACTCTAAGTGAGAATATATTCGGTCACATTTAAGGCACACTTCACAATTAAAATTGTTTATGCATGTTCATCACGAAACTCAATGGCTTTTATAAAGTAATTTAACTTTGATTTGAAAAGGTTTTGGGAGTTCAACTTTGAAAGTTTATTTTAAATAAAGGGTAACAGTGCTTGACAGGGCGTTATCATATAAATTAAAGTCAGAAGATTAATTTATAATTAATGGAAATGTATGGGCTGCTTCGCAAAATTTTCAAATATACATTTCCAAAGTTTTCCAACATATAGAGAAATTAAATATCATTTTCTCCTAAAAACTATTTTTCCGGTTAATCTACCTAACACAACTTAAATATGACAAGTCAAGATGCAAAAAGTTTTTGTCATATTTCCAAATTTAAAAATACAATGATACATAGGTTTATTTTTACTTAAAAAGTTATACCGGATGGTCTTGTATGATATTTGGTTGTTCCAAGATTGAAAAAAAAGTGAAATAGTCGATGTATTTTCTCCCGAACATTTTCCAAGAAGGAAGGAATATGAAGAATTTTCACCAAATATCCCAATTAATTTGAAATATTTCCATAAAAACAACACTATATCATCACCACATCACATTGTTTTTTCTTTCTGCTATGAGTGATAGGGACATATTCTGTGGGAAGACTCATTACACCGATGAATGACCCCATCAGGAAAAGCCCAAAAAGGAAGAATATATTTCTATCTGTCACTACTCTGCTACACATTTTGCACAAAAACCAAAAATACAATTGAAGGGCAAAAGGTAAAAACAGAAGAAAAAAACAACATTTGTCATTTGGTGTGTGTGTGTGTGGTCCTTAATCTGTAGACTTAAGTAGAGATGAGGAAGGCCCACCAAAAATCTGGTCTATGAGTGGCTCTGAGGAACGACCTACTAAGGCTGCCTGTTGCTTTTGTTTTTCCCGATAAGTCGCCCACGTCACCACATATAACCCCACTATGATCAACAATCCTCCCAAAATGCTATTCATAAAAAAAAAAAACAAATTAACAATTAAATATATAAAGTATAAACCATGGTTTTGGAAAAATGAAATTAAATTGGATGCTGCGAAAACAGACCTTCCCAAATAGATTGGGTCACCAAGGAATACTTTTGACAAAAAAGCCGAAGCAGCAGGTTGAAGTGGATTATAAAGAGCCACCAAAGCGGGTCCCATTATCTTGTTCGACCATGTTAGAAGTCCATAGTTCAATGCAGACGCGATGATTCCCTATTTTTTTTTTAAAAAAAAAGCACATCATGTAAATTTTATAAGATCCAAGGTTTTATACAGTACAAGGAGAACAGAGAAGATACTTACAGCATAAATTACTGCCAAAACCTCGTACCCAGTCAAATGCCAGTTCATTGACTCATTGTTGAAGGAGACAGCTGTCACCACCATAAAAACTGTACCAAAAAAGTATGAATATGCTGTAACCGATAGGTTTGCTGGATACATGGCCAACACTGGAGCCTGAAGAGTGAAGTCATTTCAATACAAAAATAGAAAGAAAAAAAAAATCTTACTTCGAATTCAAACCATATAAAAAAGTAAATGTACAATTGAATGAATACCTGAACAGCTAGATAGGCAGCCATGCATATACAGTTTCCTATTAAGCATATAACACCAATATGCCAGTTGTCAATTCCTAAGGTTGCAAGATAAGAAAACATCCATCTAGAAACTTCTGGATGTCCACCTGGAATTATTTTATGGACACTGTTTCGAAGCCCTAGTAAAGCTGGTCCTTTGAAGATAGCCATAAAAATGGCACCAGAAAAACAAACTAAGGTGCCTCCAATTTTTGCCTGACCTTCACTTTCCAGCACATTTACTGTTTCTGTACTGAATTTATGACATATTAAAAATCTTGTACATTGACAAAAAGTAAATGTGTGGATTGTGATAACTTCATAAGTAAAGCTTACCCTTACCCCATCAATGCACCAAGTATAAATGTGAAGACAGGAATTGAAGGTTGAATGGCTGCAGCATAGGTTGGATTTGTGTAGCCAAGTCCAAAAAGAAACAAAATCTGGGTCCCAAATGTCCTACAAAAGAAAACATTATGCATGTGTTATATATTTGTAGTATGATGTCTTTTAAGATGCTATAGGATTACAGCAGATATGAATAACAAGTTTGGAGATTATGGACTTACCCAGTCAACCCAAGAAAGAAGAAATACATGAGAAACTGCCTAGTCAAAGTTGGTCTGGTTCCCCTACAAACAACATAAAATCAACCCAACTTTAGTTTCACAAATTTCCCAAGTAGTATTTACAGGTCAATGATGATTAATATGTTATCCGTGAATACAAATAATGGATTATGTGCACCAATAATATATTCGACTTTTATCATCAGTAAAAAGCAACATTGTGTATACTGAATGGCTAAAACGTTATGGTGAATGCTAAATCTTATCAAAAACAATCAAATGTAAGAATGAGAAATATAGTGAAATTTGCACGATGAATTAGTAGTTACAGTAAGTTCTGACTAATATAGTGAAATCTGCATTTTTAAGTACAGCGATTGCAAGTATAAGCAAAATTGACTGGGGGGCATCAACTTTACTTAAGGAAATCCCAGCTTTCCAAAACACTATAATTACCTTATTCTAGATTCAATCTGATTTCAACCCTAAAACAGTTCGAGGAAAACGATGCACCCCCATATCGAAGCTGTTATATTATCCCATAACGCAAAGAATATCTCGCTAACTTTTCAACGGTATTCAAATAACAGAAGACATTAATTCAAACCACAATTTCTAAGCAGGAAGAAACAATTGAGAAGTTGACTAACTTTTCGCGGAAATAAGCGATGGGAACAAGGATAGAGATGGCAAGGATGTCACGATACACGCAGAAAACAATCTCATTCACTCCACCATTCAGAGCTACTTTTGTGATGACATGATATCCTCCATTGAACAACTGTACCAACGTCATCGCCATGTGTGCCTTCCATGCTTCTCCTGCAGCGCCACCGCCTGATGCAATCCTCATATAATCCGGTGACACACACACGCACTGTTGATGTATCTAACAAATCAGTTGTCGAGCAGTCGTTCACTTCAACCAATTTGAAAAATGATGTTAGCTGAATTGAATGAAATTGAAAGTGATGATGGGGTCGTTTTGAGATTGAAGTAAACGGAAACAAAAAGGGGGGAAAATATGTTCCTACTTCAGTATTGTTGGAGTTTCTCCAGGGACAGGGGATATCCGGAATTTGGATAGATCATACACCTAAGCAAGACATTTTTATATATATCTAAGTAATGATTTGTAAGGCTCATAAATTGCCACATTCCCTCTTCTAAACCAAACTTTTACCACGTATCATCTTATTATATCTAAGTAATGATTTGTATGGGGACATTCCTATGAACGACCTTTAGCGGAATATGGATATGGTTCGAGTGTGGACAACAGTCAAATGTCTTAGCGAGAAACTCAAGGTCCAAATCGTGCTAATACAAGGGGCCGGTTCATGCTATTAGGGCCATAGGAAAGAAAATTATAATTACGGCTCTAGCAGGTTAATTTCTCTATTCAATTCAAACTTTCATTCTTTCAATATGTTTTTGTGTGTGATTTGAATTAGGGTTTATTTGATGTTCATGAATCTTGGCAAAATTAGAGTATGTAGTAGGAGATGTTTATTTGATGATTCTCACTTTATGATGATTTTTTACCCATTGATTCTCACCTTTGCAATTTATATGAATCGTTGTTCAGAATACTATTATGACACGTGTTGTCAATCTACCGTAAGACATGGTCTTCCTCCTGTCTTGATTTCGATTCTCATGTAACCCATTTACATTTGTATAGTTAAAAGTGTTAATAAGCTTAATTGGATCATATAATTGCATATTATGCGGTTTTATGTGTTCCATTGGATAGTATAATTACATTTTATACGCGTGTCTTTACATTTGACCGGTTTATAACTTTATATGTTTTGGTCATAGAAGGTTGACAATTTCCATTATTTCGCATTAATTTCATTATGTTTACCTTTTAAGTTTGCATTTACGAGATCGATGATGATTAGATATTGGTTTTATAATGTTTTTTTCTTCAGATCTTGCTGCACAATCGAAATCACAAAGCCAAACATATAATTTTTTATACCAGATGTTTGTGGATCCGGATTGCAAAAACGTTATCGTATATTATGTGGTTTTATGACGTATGAGTAATGAGCTCAATTGATTTTCTTTACTCCATATTGTCTTGAGATTTTTGTAATAATTTTATCTCTTAGCAACTGATTTATATTACAACATTTCATAAATTTTGATAAGAAATTTTCAGATGTTTTCTGGGTAACACATTGACTTTAAAAAAAAAAAACATTTCAATATTCCTAAACTCTAAATACTTAATGTGTGGGGAATTTTATGCCTTTTTTGCTTTGTTTAATTTGGTTCACAACTAGGCAGGAGTGCTCAATGGATTCAAGAGGCTTTGTCATGAATTGTTCAATGGATTAAATTGATTGGTTAATTTAATAGCTGATGTTTTTTTTTTTTTTTTTTTTTTTTTTTTTTTTTTTTATAAGTTTTAGGTCAGGATGACATAGACTTTGAATGAAAAACACCACCTCCAGGCCATATGTGCCACACACAGACTTGCATTTTATTGATTTAATCAGGGTTTTCAAAAATCAAGTTTTCAAGGTAATAACAAGATGTTGACTATGCAGTATGCACTAAAGATGGAGGGGCTTACTCGTTTTGCTCTTGATTTGGAGGGGGGGGGGTATTTTGATGAAGTTGAACTTTTTTTTTTGGGGTAAAAGGATAGTTTGAATTAAAATTTTTTGGTTTAACATCAAATTCATTGTCAAAATTGGCTTATATTTGGACTTGATTAAAGTAGATGCCAAAAATACCAATCTAATGAAAAAAATTTGAAGATGCAGAGAAAATAACATATCATGATAAGTAATGATTAATGATGAGACTTTGTATAGGGTGTGGCATGCTTTTTTTTTCAAAGAAAGATGGTGTAATCTAAAATTGAGAATTAAATGTTGTGGTGGAAGTTTCCTTTAAACATAAATCGGATTGGATAGCTTAGTTTTTATAGAATAAAGGGTAGTTTGTTCAAAGTTCATTTTTATTTTTGGATAATGTGCAAAGTTTCATTGCCATAAAGAGTGCTCTTGTGAAGCTTCTGTGTGGTTTTGCTCTATATGGAAGATTGCTCAAAGCTCATTGTTAGTTCTAGTTTGTTGTTCAAAGTTAATTGCTATTTTAAGAAAATTTTGTGGGGTGTCTTTTTATTATATAATTTTGAAGTTGTTATAGAGAAATGAGATGTGTATCTTAGGTGAATATCGATCACATTTTTAGGTTTAACATTCTTATTGAAAAACTTTTTTTTTTTTTGGTTTAATGTTTTTTTAACATACTTTTTAGATACTCATTAGGGTTTATATTTAAAAACATGTCAACTTGTGTGAACTATTTTTTTTATTAGAGAAACATTTTGTGTAAGTTTTAAAAGAAAAATATAAAAAGTAGATGATCACAACTTTTTTTTGCATGCAATTAGTCTTAAAAATATCAAATAGATAAATCCGAAACATTTAAATTCAATTTACTTTATGTTTAAGAATTTTTTTAGATAAAATCAAACGACAATATGAATTATTTATAAGACATGTGTCAAATTTATTCTTTCACCCCAAAATAAATACATAGGTTATAGTTATAACATTTAAAAGGTTTTATGTTTAAATGAGTATATGTAAATATATAAGTATAAACTACTAGACAAAAAGTTTATCAAGCAAAAGCATTTATGATTTGTCATTCATCATTATTAACATCCCAAACATAGTTGTATAAATAGCAAGTAAACCAAATCTTTTCCACCAAATCAAAAGAAAATTACTTATATTTGTTCGGTTAATCTACCAAACTAAACACATATGACAAGTTAGAGATGCAAAAAGTATCATCATGCTTCCAATTTTAAAAAAAATCAATGATACATAGGTTTCCCTTTACTCAATCTTAGAAAGAAATTTGTTACATAAAAACAACAGTATATTATCACCATTCACCACAACATCTCATTTTGTTTTCTGCTGAGTCACAAGGGCATTTTCTGTCACAAGACGCTCATTATACATTTATACATTTATACTCATGAATGACCCGATCGGAAAAAGCCCAAAAAGGAAGAATATATTTCTATGTGTCACTATTCTGCTACACATTTTGCACAAAAACCAAAAATACAATTGAAGGGCAAAAAGTAAAAACAGAAGAAAACAACAACAACATTTGCCATTTGGTGTGTGTGTGTGTGGTCCTTAATCTGTAGACTTAAGTAGAGATGGAGAAGGCCCACCAAAAATCTGGTCTATGAGTGGCTCTGAGGAACGACCTACTAAGGCTGCCTGTTGCTTTTGTTTTTCCCGATAAGTCGCCCATGTCACCACATATAACCCCACTATTATCAACAATCCTCCCAAAATACTATTCATAAAAAAAAAAACAAATTAACAGTTAAATATATAAAGTATAAACAATGGTTTTGGAAAAATGAAAGTAAATTGTATGCTGCGAAAACAAACCTTCCCAAATAGATTGGGTCACCAAGGAATACTTTTGACAAAAAAGCCGAAGCAGCAGGTTGAAGTGGGTTATAAAGAGCAACCAATGCGGGTCCCATGATCTTGTTTGACCATGTTATAAGTCCATAGTTCAATGCAGACGCGATGATTCCCTATTTATTATTATTATTATTATTTTTAATAAAACATCATGTATATCAAAGTTTTATAAAGTACAAGGAGAACAGAGAAGATACTTACAGCATAAATTACTGCCAAAGCCTCGGACCCGGTCAAATGCCAGCTCATTGACTCATTGTTGAAGGAGACAGCTGTCACCACCATAAAAAGTGTACCAAAAAAGTATGAATACGCTGTAACCGATAGATTTGCAGGATACATAGCCAACACTGGAGCCTGAATTTCATTTCAATAAAAAAAAAAATCATACTTCAATTCAAATTCAAATCATTTAAAAAAGTAAATGTACAATAATTCAATTACCTGAACAGCTAGGAAAGTAGCCATGCATATACAGTTTCCAATTAAGCATAGAACACCAATGTGCCAGTTGTCAATTCCTAAGGTTGCAAGATTAGAAAACAATGGTTGTCCACCTGGAATTATTTCAGGGGCAGTGTTTGCAAACCCTAGTAAAGCTGGTCCTTTGAAGATAGCCATTAAAATGGCACCAGAAACACAAACTAAGGTGCCTCCAACTTTTGCCTGACCTTCACTTTTCAGCACATTTACTGTTTCTGTACTGCATTTATCACATCACATATAAAACATGTTTATTAAATATAATTATTAAATAGTAAAGGTTGCCATTATTATTACCCCATCATTGCAGCAAGTATAAATGTGAAGACAGGAATTGAAGGTTGAATGGCTGCAGCATAGGTTGGATTTGTGTAGCCAAGACCAAGAAGAAACAAAAGCTGGTTCCCAAAAATTCTACAAAAGAAATTAATAAGTGGAACAATAGCCATACAAGGGCCTAAAGAAATGTTATAAATGTGTTATCTTAATGAATCATAAAGAGTCAACAAAAATACTATTCAACCCATTCTTCCACCTCTACTCATCAGTATAGGATTACAACAGATATGAATAACAAGTTTGGAGATTATGGACTTACCCAGTCAACCCAAGAAAGAAGAAATACATGAGCAACTGCCTAGTCATAGTTGGTCTGGTTCTTCTACAAACAACATAAAATCAAACCAACTTTAGTTTCACATATTTCCCAGATGATACAAGTTGTATTTAAAGGTCAATGATGATTAGTAGGCTATCAATGAATACAAATATCGGGTTATATGCACCAAATAATTAACATATTTGACTTTTATCACCAGCAAAAAGCAACATTATATATGTAATGAAAGAAACGAGAGTCGGATTTGCAACATTGGTTCTTCTCCATGTCCTTTTTCTTGGTTCAACATTATGGTGAATGCTAAATCTCATTAAAAACAATCAAATGTAACTATGTAAGAATGAGAAATCTAGTGGGATTTACGTGATGCATTAGTAAGTACAGTAAGCCCTGACTAATATAGTACAATAAAAAATCTAATCCATATAAATTTGTTTTAATTAGCATGATAAACCACTCTGTACTAGAGGTTTGGAGGTATCCTTAAAGTATCCTTAAAGTATATTGCAAGTACAAGCAGAATTGACTAGGGGAATCTTTCAGGCATCAACTATACTTCTAGAGATCCATTCCAAAACACTACAATTACCTTATTCTAGATTCCATCTCATTTCAACCCTAGAATAGTTAGAGGAAAACAACATATCGAAGCTGTTATATTGTCCCATAACACAACGAAAAATCTCGCAACTCGTCATCAGTATTTAAATAACAGAAGGATTAATTCGAACCACAATTTCTAAGCAGGAGTAAACAATTGAGAAGTTGACTAACTTTTCGCGGAAATAGGCGATGGGAGCAAGGATAGAGATGGCAATGATGTCACGATAAACGCAGAAAACAATCTCATTGACTCCACCATTCAGAGCTACTTTTGTGATGACATGATATCCTCCATTGAACAATTGTACCAACGCCATCGCCGCGTGTGCCTTCCATGCTTCTCCACCAGCGCCACCGCCTGATGCAATCCTCATCTAATCCGTTGACACACACGCACACACAAATTTTGAAATCTGCTGGTGTATCTAACAAATCAGTTGTTGATCAGTCGTTCAACTTCAACCAATTCGAAAAATGATGTTAGGTGAATTGAGTGGAAAGTAATGATGGGGTCATTTTGAGATTCAAGTAAACGTAAACAAAAAGGGGAAATTGTTGCAATTTTGGAGTTTTCTGCAGGGGATAACCGGATTTGGATAGATCATACACGTAAGCAATACATTATTGCCACACGTTTAATGTAGTTGACTTGTCGGTTACAAATACAAATATTAGTATATTACATTTGGTGGGAGTATAATAACATTTTTTGGGATCTAAATAGTTGGATGATATCTTTGTAGGACCAAAAATAGTTGGATTATGGTACAAGTTTTAAGTTTATCATTAAATGGGGTAATGTTAACGACAAGTCATTTTTAGTTATTTTACTAAAATGGCTAAAGGCTGGAAATATTTTAAATTAATCAAAATTTTATTTACTCAAAAACAAGTATTAACCTTGCGGACTAATTGTCTTGAATTAATGATATTACGGTTCTCTAGTTTATTAACCTCGTGGACTAATTGTTTTGATTAGTGATTTACGGTTCTTCTGGTTTTAGATTGATATTGTTTCACAAGTGTGATTTATTTTTTACGAACCTATATAGTAACTTTTAAACAGTTACAATAATAGCTATTGAATGAGCTCGTTAAGTGCTCAATTAACTTTACATACATACATGTTGAAGATGTGATAAAAAACCATTACAAAACAACATTTATTGTCAAAACCTTCATAAACAAATGTCTTTAAAAAAATGATAATGCATAAAATACAGATGAAGTTGGTGATGTAATATATATCTTCAGTTATATGCAAGTAAGTTAATAAATATCTTTTGATTTTACATATTTTGAATCTCTCCTTATTTGTTGAAGCATTAATAACTTTGTATTTAAATTTTTTTTCCTTGAATCAATCAACAACACCACCTTTTTATCTTGTTCTTGATCCAAATCGATGACCAAGGTTGGGGCCTCCCATTATAGTGCAAGGAAAGAGGTGGGTAATAGAGTTATGCTTAAATTCTTTAAACACAAAAAAAAGTTTTCTTATATAATAGATTAACATGAATGGAGTTTTTAATTTCCCCAATCATTTAATTATAATCTAGCCAATTACTCAAACCAAATTATTTATTTTAATTAATTTAAGGGGTGTTTGAATTAGTTTATTAGCTTATTTGTGGTGCGTACACAATAAGCGATAAGTAAGGGGATATATGCTTATTAAAATTGGTTTATTTATAATACAATAAACTGATTTTTAATGATTTTATCAAAACACTTAAACTTAGCTTATTGTGTTGGAAATAAACAATAAACAATAAACACCTTTTTTTTTCTATCCGAACACCCCCTTAGTCAAATTTATTATTTAAATATTTTTTAAATAATACTCTCTTCGTTCCAAAATTATTGTCCATAAAAAAACATACATATTAAAAAAACATTAATTACCACTAACTTTACTAAATGAAATGACAATTATACATTTTTGTTGCATTTAATTCCTCATTTTGTTGCATTTATTTTCATGGTAGGTTAACTAATAATAAGGGATATTTTAGTAAAAGAGAAATTTATTTTTAGAAGTAGGCTATTATTTTGGAACAAATAAAAAATGAAACATGGACCTCGACACCCTTCTGCCTCATTCTTGCACCTCGACACTTGTCTTGCACCTTCTTCGTCCAAGTCAGGCGTTGTCAACGACCAAGGCAACTACCACCACCACCACCTTCTTTAACCTTAGAAACAAAACCACAATTCCATCAATTGTTGCTTTTTCATCGCCCCCTCCCCCGACCACCTCATTTCACTTGCTTGCTGCTCCATTGCTAGACCACCACACCTTCCCTCATCTTTTACATCTCCAGGTCGACGCTACAACAATCCACCTCCATTGTTGTATCTTCAGGTCATTGTCTAGAGATTCTCTTCTTTCTCCATATTAGCTCCCATATTTTCACTAGTACACAAGTCATTTAATAGTGCGAGTAGTTTTTATTTTTTGAGGCGGTCCATTCTAAAAACCGCCTTATTAAATATCAATAGCATCAAAAAAATAAAAGAATCGCACTATAAAATAGCTTTGTTAAAACGGTTTCCCAAATCGCACCATTAAAGCATTTTCTGATGCGGTTTTCCGAAACCGCACCAAAAAATAATGTGGAAACCGCCCCAAATAATAATTACAACCGCACTAAAAGAAATTTGCACTAAAAAACGTTGAACCGCACCAAAAAACAATTCGCACTGAAAAAATATTGAACCGCACCAGTATTTTTTCCTCTAAAAAATTCATTCGAATTTTTTCATTTCGCGCTAGATTCCTCCATATTTCGTTCAAAATTTTCATGTTTTTCAAAATTTTCATTCAATCTTCCCTCTTTTATATAAAGTTAGAGATGCAACTTCTTCTCATAATTATAGATTTGTCGATTCAATGCTTGAAAACGCATGTGAGGTATGTTTATTATTTATCATTTTTTCATTAATGGCATTTGTGCCTCCGTTTTTCTCTTATTAATTGTAAATTGATGTCCCATTTTAAGTTTTAATGATGTTTTCTCTTGTTCTGAATCTCTGAATATGCATCTGCTTCCGTGATAAATCTCCAAAAAAAGGATCCAAAGACTACTGATGTTTGCTTCAGTGACTTTCAATCAATGGATATGGAGTTAGTTTGTGCAAAGTGAGTTTTAAGATGTTAAAAAAGAAATTGAAAACACCATCGATTGAAATGTGATTTCCCAAGAATAGATTTTTAATTAGTAGAGAAAAATAAATTACAGAGATTGAAACTACCTTTTTTGGAGAAACGAAATTACGATTAACCTTTGATTGAAAAACACTCGCCGCACATACCTAAATACAAGAAAATGAATCTTCATAAGTAGCGTGGTGTCCATCAATGGCGGACCTGTTGATTAGTATGGTTTTAGCTAGCTATTTTTTGTGTCGGTTTTTGCTATTTTTTAGTGCGATTTCGGCTATTTTTTTGAGGCGGTTTTGCCTCTTTTTTGGTGCGATTTTGGCTATTTCTTGAGGCGGTTTTGAGTATTTTTTGGTGCGGTTTTGGAACCGCATCATTAGATAAGGGTATTTTTTAATGCGATATTTTTTGGTGCGATTCAATACCCGCATCATTTAATCATTTTGACCGCATCAACAAATGTTTTCTGTACTAGTGTTTTCATCTAATTGAGTTTTGGGGATTGTTTCTGTCGTGAAAGTTATATATGATCTTTATGTATATAACATGAAACCGTTGATGATAACTATTTGGAGTTTTATCTTCTATTGTTTCTTAGGATGTTGGATTTGAATCCAATTATTCAATCAAAGCATTTTTGGTTTTGTGTAGGATGTGTGATCAAGAAGACGAACAATGATTTTGATTGTAGCATGTATCATTTTATAGGATACTGTTGCAGGATGTATTGTTTTATAGGATGCATTATGCAAAAGGAAAGCCAATCTTGCTATGTTCTTGCAAAGGTAATGGTGTTTTCCTATATCATTTTTAATAAGTTTGAGATAGTTTTCTATTTATTTGAACGATGCCCTGTAAACTAACAACTATTTCAATGAATACAAGTTAGGATTTTTTGACAATTTAAATGTGTCGTGTGTATATTATAGGTTTTTTTTGGGAAAAGTCATAGAAACGGAATATTAATGTCGAATGGCTTGTAACAAGGACATAATTAGAAGAGCAAGTATATATGGGGAAGGTCATGATTACAAATAAAAATATACACAGGCTACATGAACTACTACAAGAAGGGCAAACAAAATTTGAAAAAGTTACAAGAGGATAAAGCAATAGAAAAAGGAAAGATGGATGCTTAAGAAGAAAAGTTGATAGGAACATGATTTTATGACAATGCCCATAGTGGACTACTTTTTATTTTTTCGGCTTAATCAAAATATTATTCAATTTGTTTATTTGTCTTGGTATAGGTTTTTATATATTTTTTGATTGATACGTGTTGCTATGTCGATCTTCAAGTTTGGGTTTGTAGTGTTGGTTTTGTTTTATCAGAAGTTTTTGACCATTGTGATATGGTTATAGTAATATAGACAATCTTTCTTTGGAATTATAAGAGTTTTCGTGTTTTTAATTCCAATATTAGTAGCATCAATGTTATAATAAATTATATTTCAGTGTTGTAAAATTAAAAATATTTATTTCACTAGCAATATTTATTTTTAAAAACTTGCTTAATTTAAATTTCAGTTTATTTTAATAGTTTACAGATTAAAAAAAAAAAAAAACAATTTTTATCTTACCGACTGTATATATTTTACCTCTGAAAAAACAAACAATATTTAAAATATAGATTTATATCTTATATCGAACTATTTGTTAATTTTATAATGCTTGCATATTTTCACTATCAATGAATATAATATTTCACAATGTATATCTCGTTCTTATAATATTGGAAACATACATTAGAATTATGACATAATTATACTAGAAGTGTTATACAACTGAAAATAAACATGTAAGTTAGTTTGAACTATTTATTAATCTCATAGTCCTTAGAACACTCTTTTGCAACTAATGAAAATAATATTTCATAATGCCTGTTTCCATATTTAAATCTAACGACAACGAACTTCAGTATTTTGATAGAAACGCCATATATATGTTATATCCATGGTTCGAGAGATTCAAAGCAAATGAATAAAAAAAGAAATAAAAAAAAGAGAGATAGAAAAATGCACTTCACAATATATCTATTATAACTTGGAGCCGTATTCACAAATAAAAACTCCCCGTATCAGCATCTACTGTCTCCAATACTAATGGGGTGTAAGTTATGACTTTTCATGAACACTTTTCAACTAACATCTTATAACTTATAAGCTGATAAGTTAGGGAGAACTGACTTATAAAATTTTACTTATTTCGACTTATAAAATTTTACTTATTTCTGGTATGACACATTGATAAACTATTCATATCCAAACACTCTTTTTAGTTTATATCGGTGTGAAACCAATAATACCGATATGGAACGGAAATAAGCTAAAAACGAGCTTAAATTTTCTCTTACCTGGACACCATCCGAAGTGGTTATTTTTGTGATGTTCAAATAAAAGGTTTTACTTGTTTCAAATAAACGATCCCAAACACCTCGTATTCCTGCACGTTATGTAAGCTTTATTTACCCATAAAAAGAAAAAAAAATCCGCACTAATTTTTCTTTAACTGTTCAACATTTTGCGATGTCACAAAGCCTTCAATCAAACATCTTTACGCCAATCACCATTACTGTGAGTAAATCCTGTCTCATTATCGTAATTAGTTCGCAAAGAGTACACACCTATAAGCATCTGCATATTTGCACTTTAACTGTTCGACGTTTTGCTCGTTAGGGATTTATCTTCTTTTAACTGTTTGATAGTTTGTAGATTACAATCTGCTATCAGTAATGCATGATATGTGGGACTGATGCCCTATTTCTTTGTTAATTATTGATAATTGTTGTCTCACTATTTTCTTGTTCTTATTGAATGTCTGTTTTAGGTTGCTTAGTTAGCGAGCATGTGTATTGTTAGCCTTTTGCTTTCTCTATTGTTTCCTTCTTTGGTAGAGTTTTGGGATTATGATTATCTCAACTGGTTTGTGACACAACTGAGTTGAGTTGAGACCTGAGGAAGTGGTTGATTATATTGAATTTTAAGAATAAAAGTTGCTTAGTGGGAGACATGGGGAGATTCGAACATTGTGGTAGTACTAGTTAAATATAATATCATACAATTAGTTGTACGAGATTCTTTAAGTTAATGTGGATTTAAGCATTAAGCATAAAGTTAGGTTTGTATGATTTAAACTTTTTCACTCATCATTTGTAAATGCAATGATTGAGTTGAAAGCCCAATTGAAGTTGTAGTGCTATTTACACACTGAACTTGTAATTTCCAGCTGGCCTTTATCACCATTATTCTCTTTGGATTTGGAGAATCTTCAAGTTGGGTATTTTGATATATAAACATTTTAGATATGAATGAAGGATTATTACTTCCAATAGTTGATCAAAGGTCCTCAAAGCAAGATGACCATTTGTTATTCAATTAAATAGGGAATCATTACACCAAATGACAGGTCATCAAGCATCAAATCAGTATGTATGTTCTTTTTTTCTTCTGCAACTTTCAGAATTGTTGAAAAGCTGACTTAGAAAAGCCTAACCAAGGTCAATACAAATGCCATTACTGAGGTATGAGGTTCAAGCATAGGCATTGCCTTAGGGCTGTTTCTTTTGGGCTGAATAGGTTAAACACTTAATCTGAACAACTATACATGGTTGTTTCTTTTTTACTTAATCCGGACAAAATGACTAATAGGTTAAGCTAAAAAATACCTGACTTAATTTATTAAGACAAATTAACCTTTTGCATATTTGCCCTTCTTTTTTCCTCCCAACTCCACTTGATGAATATTGTGGGAAAAATATTTCGATTTAGAAAAGAAACAAACCTTATGTGTACAACACTTTATCCAAACACACATCATTACCCATTCAACCACTTTACCCATACATGACTTAATGAGGAAAAATAAAGAAACAACTCCTTACTTTTGCCCTAGGGAACCTATTTTGTTTGGCTAGTCTAAAGGTGCTATATATTCTTAGGGATTTGGAAATGACATCGAATGTAAATGAAGCTGACATGACAAAAGCATGGTTTTGATTGGTCAACTAAACTTTATCATAACCTAGTGGTTATTCTCAATGCCAATCTTTGATACAGTAGATTTATAGGTCTAAATTGGGAAAAGATATGCTATAATGGTGGATAAAGATTTATGTTGATGTCACTTTGATTCCACATGTTGGTCATTTGATTGAGTTGAGCTAAATCTTAACTTTTTTCTCCTTAATCTACAAAAAAACGTACCTAACTTTAGGTATCAATACATATCTATGAAAAGTTGTGTGGTTCGTATTATATGAAAAAAGATCACGCTGTTTGTAGAATATTCTTTAGTTGTCATTATCATCTTGAAGCCGTTGTAATTTACTACCCATTTAAGGAAAAAGAGATGCACTTTGACTATTAGGGGTCGATTTAGCACTTTTGATATCATCATTGATATAGGCTGTACTAAAATTAAAACAAAAACTATGAACAAAATAGCAATATACTTTAATTTATTTGTGAATACAACATTCTACTTCTGTCTCTTTATGCTACAACATTGTATCTTCATTTGTTTCTTATTAAGCTTGAAAAATATATCTACTTGTAGCATTGTACTTTCATTTATGTTCTTATTAGGTCATGTTATTTTGAAAAATCTACCAAATTATAGCACTAAAAATTGTTTTGTATTACAATGAAGTTGATAAATTAGGTAGATATTTTAGAGTATAATGTTGTGTGTGAAGAATGGAAGTAGGATACTAAAATAAAAATCAATGAAAGATAACAGGATCAATCTTAGTTTGATATAATGGTAGCATTGGAAACGACATAATATATATTCAATCTAAACATCATTTTTATAGCCACTCCATTCATTAATTTTATTAATCATTGTTTTTATCAAATTGGTGAGTTAGTTTTATGCATACACTTGCCACAAGGGCGTTTTGGTAAATGTGATCAAAATTCTTGCAACATGTGATCTAAATCTAATAATATTATTTCTCTTCCAAGAAAAGCGATCCTCGTGTAAACTTCACCGGACCCTGTGCAATGCAAGAAAAGCAATGAGCCGATACCCAATCAACATCAACCCCATAGCCAACAAATCTATGTGTAAATTCTTCAATCCGACGGATTTAACCCCCGGAAAATCCACAACATGGCAATAAACACCCTTGGAGCACTCATAAACATCGTTCTCATTAAACTGAACCCCAAGAAGAAGCTTGTAACCATAGTAACTATAACTCAAATACTTTAACCACACTATGAATGTTGGGATTTGTTGTATATAATACCCACCAGCAATTAAAAAAACTAGAGTTGTAACCGAGGCTAAAGTAGTTGCTTGTTTTACATCCATAAGTATAGCACCAATTGCAAGTCCAAGACTTTGGGCCACAAGAACATTGTAGAGGACAACAAGGAGTGAAAGGATGAAAGTGGACGGGTCGGGTTTTAGCCCGCCCATCCAATAAAGTATGAAGGTGAAAGCAGTTGGGAGTGCAAGCTCAAGTGGTAGGTCACTTATGGTTCTTGCTAAAAAATAAGAGGAGAGACGATACATTCCGGACGAACGCTCTTTTATTAGCATTCTTCTTTCTTGAGGGAAAGTGAAAACCGCATTGTAGAGTGGGTAAAATCCCCAAAATACTGAGAAGAAGAAAAGCATTGCTATCTGCATCAAACAAACACACAACCAAATTGTTTTTACAGGTTAAACACTTAATCTGAACATCTATACTATATGGTTGTTTCTTTGACTTAATTTGGACATAATGACTTAATGGTTTAAGCAAAAAAAAACATAACTTAATGTAATAAGACACTAATCCTTTACCAATGTGTTGTTCTTATATGTCGTGGAATGCAAAAGTCAAATAGTCATTTAGACTTATTCAGGCGCTTATGTTTATTCAGACATCATTATCACTTTAGTCATTTTACCCATTTAGGAGTTGATAATAAATAAAAAAAACAACCGCTAAGTGTTGTCTGGTAAAAATATATTTGAAAAAATGACGGTCCACTTAGGGAATGGAAAGAAAAGGATGCATGGGAATAGATTTGTAAAATGTTAGGACTTAATGGAAACTAAAACCCTCATATGTAGCTTATTAGATTAAGTCATGTTTCTGTTAAGTCCATTAAGTCAAAAGCAAACAACACCTAACTTGGTTAAGATTTTTGTATATGATGAGGTTTTGAGATGAAAATGCTCACACGATCTTCAATATGGGACGACGGAGTGTGC